GTTGTTGAGGTAAACGAGTTATACACTGTTACACTTTATGCTGTACTTCAACAAGATGAATGAGAGTGAGAAATAATCAATGACAAATGATCTTAATCTTTTTTGTTTTACCACAGGCACTGACAACCAAGCTTGTATATTTCATATTCCTTTTCCAAGTGTTAACGTCAACATTCAGGACTAATGGAATACTGTGCTAATTTGTCAATATTCTTACACCTACATGTCTAAAGTGTTCGTGAAACAATTAGACATTTGGGTTTATACATTTAGTTTCCAATCTAGTTAGCATACGAATTCTGCATGTGATGGCTTTATGTATCATATGCACTATTACTACCTGCCTAATTTTCGGTTACTTTGGTGTTGAAATATCGTAAGGACGAAAAAAACCGATGAACATAAATATGGTAGACCATACCTCCAACGCTTTATTTACACACCTTTTGGAAACTGGTCGAATATCACCACATTCGATAGCTTGTCCAGTTCTGCACAGTGTTTATAACGTTTTCTTTCACAGTTCTATTCTTCGATTGCTTTAACCAGTGTCGGAAATATATTCTTGCTTTTCTGAACTCGTTTACTAGTATACTACTTATATCTGTTTGTAAGTAGCATCCACCACAATAATACTACTGCAATTCTTCTTGAATTTGAGTTCTTACTACAGAAATTACTTTTTAATTCAAATCCAATATAGTACAGATACATTTGGGCCCTTGAATGTGATAGTAGGGAGTAGATTAGCACATAATAATAGAGGGTGACACTAATTGTAGGTAGGTAGTACTAGCGTCTCAAGGTTATCGCAGTGATTTGAACATAGTGTGAAGTGGAAAGTATAACATATCTAAGTGGTAGTCCTATGTCGCCTCGATGAGAACAAGTGCTATTGTATGCGAGTGACCAGCCAATGAACATAAAGAGCTTAAAAATCCTTTGTGACGCGATACAGATTTACTTTCTGAGAAATAAATACATATTATCTTCATTACTAGACAGAAGGCAAGTAGTTCAGCGGAGAGTCTCTTTTCGGCGAATTCATTTTCATAGCTGTACAATCGCAAATATATATGGTTGTTTTGTATGTGTGTGTACATACCATGGAAGAAGAACTAAACTTCCTGAAAGAAACCTTCATACAAAACGGTTACCCATCAAGATTCGTAAACAAAAACATCAAACAGAAAATCCGAAAGCAAGAAACAGCATCTGTGACAAAAAAGATACTTTATATGAACCTTGACTTCAAAGGAGACCTACTCAGTGACGTCCTTAGAAGGAGAATCTCCACCTCTTTAAGAAGAACTTTCTTTGCGGCAACATTGAGAGTAATGTTATCCACTCGCCCGCTGATCTGCAGAAGTTCAAAAGTCAAGATCCCGCACCTGACCACTTTTATGTGTATATATCAGTTCACCTGTTGCTGTGGAGCCAGGTACATCGGTCGTTCAACGCGTATCCTGTCAAAAAGGGTCAAAGAACACTATCCAGCATGTCTGCAGAAAGGAAGTAATGGCTGCAAAAGGAGTGCAATGATAGACCACCTCTTCAACATTGGTCATTCCATCTCAACAAATGCCTCCTGCTTCAAAGTAATCTACAAAGTGAAGAACAACCTCCCAAAGACAGTACGATTCCGTCTTCTTTGCATCGCAGAAGCCCTAGCCATTAAGCTAGAGGAACCAGAACTGTGCATACAAAAGAAAATTATTCAACCACTTCTACTATCATGGTAACAATTGTGTTGATTTGACTTAACTTTTGTTTGTATGCTTATTTTTCTACCTATTTAAAGCTCTTGCGTAATTCCGTATGTTATTTTGTTGCCATGTACACCCTGAGTACAACTCTTTCATAAAACTATCCATGTTATTACGTAACTCTTCTTTAACAATCGTTTGTGACAACTCATTACTTTTGTCACTACCCTCATATCAACATTCAATTTATCTGAACTTACTAGTTGCATTTTCGTTTGGCAAATCTAATGTACACACACACATACAAAACAACCATATATATATATATGCGATTGTACAGCTATGAAAATGAATTCACCGCCGAAAAGAAACTCTTCGCTGAACTACTTGCCTTCTGTCTTCACTACCTCGCATGGAAAGAACTTAATTCAGTTGAGATGTTAAGTATTGAGTCCAATGGGCAAAACTTCATGTTAGATGATTGGGATCCTTTTTTTGTAACACCACGCGTTGTGCCAGTCTCTTACTCACTGAAAGTTCCCGTTCATACTACATAAAAACCACTCATTTATAGCTGTTACCTCCACTCGAATACGCTAGACTCGTTCATAAGGTATACCATACTGTATTTCTTCCATATCCCTTATCACACAATGAAAGCGTTTTCTGTGAGCCTCAGGATAGCAATACTGTTTTGTAAAGAATACATGAGATAATAAGGTTATTATTTTCTGAACTAATTCAAGTGACGTGAATGCGCGCTGCTGATAACTACCAGATTAGGAAGAAACAACTGTTCAGTGCTTCATCATTTTCTAAATACTACTGATTCTTGACAAAGTTCAAACTTAACTAGTGAATATTATCAGTCATTAAAATATTAAGCATCGGATGCACAGCAACAAAAGTAAGAGAAAAATATGTATAAAACAATTTAAATGATTTTGTGATCTAAAAGAAAGCAAGAGCTTTGGAATGCAGCAGGATAATGAGTGCTCATTCTCTTTAATTGACTGGGAATCTTTGTGTGCTAAAGGGAGTGTGTGTAGGCGGTTATCACTTCCCGGTCGTCCACACAGTGGAAGTTAATATCTTTTTGAAATATGTCAAACGGAAGGGGGTATTTGCGGTGCGTGGCCACAGAGCTCGTGGGACAACTGCTTGAATTGTCCGGATTAGGATCTCACCGCCAAGACATAAGTCGGGATATACAATTTCCAGGGTCGATTTATTCTAACCCCATCACCCTAGAGCCGAGAGGTAGTATCGTCGGTCTTTCGAGTGAAACACCTTAGTGGTGTTGCATCCCTATTCGCCAACAGTAAAACACCGCCTATAGACCTGAAACATGATGTAAATGGCTCACACCATTATGGCAACTGGTTTTAGTCTAACCGCTATCCAAATGACTTTTCTGGCATGATAGGACCTGTAGAAACATTCGTTCTAGTCAGTGTAGTTTGTTGGGTTATTGTGACATGCAAGCCCCACCACCACATCAAAGTAGCAGCGATGGGTTGGGTCGCAATGACTTACAAGGAGGCAAATATACTCGAATGAAGTTGACATCATGACAGAGAAGTGGACAAACTAAAAATGCCTAATAATCTAGTCTATGCTTCCTTGGTGACCAAACAAATATACTTACCAAATTGCTAAAGGAGGTTAAGCGTAAGCATCAATATCTCATTGGCAACATCTCTAACTACCGCACTAGTTGACGCAGGTTCGAATCTCAGAGACGATATCAAGTCCTTCAATGCTGCAGATACGCTTTGCTGATGCATCCCAACAAACAATACAGCTTCCTTCTGAATGCTGCCTTCATCTATCCTACAACACTCGCCTTTTGCAATACTCTCTATCTAACTTGCAGCTGAATATTTAAAAACAGATGATGAAAGACAAAACATCCAGATTTTCTGCTTACTGGTGAACAATTATAGGACATTTCCGTGGCAACTCCACTCATACTGGTAGAAGACAAGAGACTTGGTAAAAGAAATGTTTATTTAGATTTTGGTATCTCGATGTAGCAAAACTATGTACGCCTTATCTCCGATGCACCATTTGTACAGAGATCTTCCGTGTTGTGTTACTTCTCGCCTTCATTCATATTGTGTTTCTTTGTCTTCTTCTCGTGTCTCCCATATTTTGACGCAACAGTGAATTATTTTCTCTCTTTCACGTCAAATGTATCTCCCTGCTATTTGATGTTTTCATGCCGATGAACGTCTTTTTATATATTACTGACAAATCACATCAGCAGCTCTCGCCACACTCGTCCCCCGTCAAATATTTTCGAAGGGAGCTGCTCCGACCTTCTTGGTTCTACCCCTTCCTGCTGTATCTTGGTCCCGGCTTCCTTATCCCACTGAATCCATTTCTTCGGTTTGCTGATGTTAACCCGTTTCTGCTTATTTCCTCTTTTGGTGGCATAAACGGGACCACGTCTCTTGGTGACAGTGTATAGCCCTTCCCACTTCAAGAGTTTCCATGAACCTGGTCCACATCTACTCACGTCTTTTCTTTCTCTACCCTTTACTTGGTCACCGACCTCAAGGGTTATGCATCCCATCTTTTCTTTCTGTCCTCTTTTGACGGAGAGCAACAGTTCCTGACCTCTTTCTGTATGGTTTCTTAGCGCTTCCAGTAGCTGGTGCACTTTTACGGGCAGTCTTAGTGGCCAGCTGCTTCCTTGGGGCTTTTCCACTAGTGGATTTGCGAGCAGTTTGCTGTATATGAGCCATAGCGAAACACCGAGAGACAATGACCGTTTATACCAACAAAAGAGGAAATAAGTAAAAACGGGTTAGCATCAGCCAACTACAGAAATGGATTCAGTGGGATAAGGAAGCCAGGACCAGGGTACAACAGGAAGGGGTAGAAGCAAGAAGGTCGGAGCGGCTCCGTTCTCTGGGCTCCTAACCAACACCAATCTAAGCGCGCTCACCACGAATGCGACGAGCCAGCTGGATGTCCTTAGACATGATGGTAATACGTTTCGTATCTTCGAAAAGACCAAGCAAGTAGGCTTCACTGGTTTTTTGCAGAGCAGACACTGCTGAGCTCTGGAATCGCAAGACAGTCTTGAAGTCCTGGACGATCTCACGAATAAGACGTTGGAAAGGTAATTTGCGGATCAGCAGTTCAGTGCTCTTCTGGCACACCACTGATAAGCTAGGCCCCAAACGAGCGAAACGGCCGTTCGGTATTTAGATCACTTCGATCTCTGTCTAGCAAGCAAACACTACTTGGTTGATGTAATTTGTATACAACTACTCATCTCAATCCATCAGTAGTATTTATGCTTTTTATGCAATTGTGCTAGTTGATGTTTCTGTTTGTATTTACTTTGATTTAACAATGTAATCTGACCAGACATTTGCATCATATCCTATAGTTTTAACGTTAACTGATAAGAAACCCAGGGTTATGATATACAAGTTCTACAAAGCACACTAACTGATAACAAAAGGATACATTTAGATGATTTATATGAAAAATATTATAATACCCGATAAAATGTGAAAGTACAAAAACGTTTGTTTTTAATTGATTTATTTTTCTCTTTGAAAAATAAGACTCTTTTCATTATTTCATTTTGAATATATATATGTATAAATGCTTCACATTTATTTCAGTTGATGAATCACAATAGCCCTGTCATCGCCTACAGATATTATATTATTACCTTTAGGACTGTAGCGAGCGCACCACACCTGTAAGAGATACGGAAAAAAGGACAATATTACCCTAACAATTGGAAAGAACTAAGTAAGAAGTTGATAAGTTGATCAAATCCCTGCGAACCAATGGTTGATAATTAATCTGATGCTCACAGGCGACTGGCTCTATACAGAAAGTTACCTGGAGTTCACTAGTGACAAGTCATAATCAGACAGGTTCAATAAGTCAGGCTAGGAGGGAAGTTATTCCCTTATGGTATTGTCTAATGGTTGCGACATATACATATCGCGGATCGGCAGTAGCTGGAATTTATGCGTCATTGGCTCAATAGTCTACGGGCTGGTATAGTACCTGGAAGACTCTGTGATCAAACGACCGAAAAATTAAAAATTCACCCTGTACAATGAGATCGGTATTATTATAGTAAAAAGGTGTCTGATAAAATTTTAATACGGACAAAGGAAGTTCAAGTGGGTTTCACCGAATTGCATCACATATATGGTGACTGAGGTGATACGGTCAATAACTAACTCTAGAGGTCGAGTGCAATGAGCAGCAGTCAGCTTCAAAAATATCACTAAACACTTCGCTAGAGTTGGCTCAAATAGACGTATGTCACCCTAGCTTTCACTATACAGTTAGAAATCCCGTCCGTCACACCTCTATCAACATTCACACAACTATCCAGGTATACGAACTTATCGAGAAGTTTAAGAGGTTCATCTGTAAGTGTGAGTGCAGGCTCCTAGTAATCTTGTGACATTACTTTGCACCTAGACGTCACAAAGCACATACCATATTTACAGACACTGATCGCCAACTGATTGTGTGCGATTTGGACAGCCTGCATGCCATCGCACAGTGAGACAACATCGTCTGCATACTCAAGGTCGAAAAGGCTTTCGCCAGGAAACAGATCTACATCACTACCACGTACGTTCTTCAGAACTGACTCCAGAATGTTATCATTGGCAAAATTAAAGAGAAATGGAGATTGAATAACCCTGTCTAATGACAGCTGGTTGTGTGCCCTCACTGTACCTGAGGTGTATCTGTATAGGGCTTTCAGGATGTTAACAAACTTCTTCGGTACACCTCCCTCTAATAAACAGTTCGAGAGAGCAGTTATATCCAAAGAATCAAAGGCATCCCTAATATCAAGAAACACAACGATTTGCTGACCTTCAATACGCGTGATAGTACTCCAACAACTGGCAAAGGGTCAACATATGTGATCAATGCATCCACGGCCTGAACGAAACCCAGCCTGTTCTTTGCGAATCAACTGCTCACGTGTTTTGCACACAGCCTGTGAGACCACAAATGTTTACCCTTTATGTAACCGAATTAATGAGAGATGATGAAAAATCAGTTGAACAACTCATTCGTTTTCAGTCTTCTTTCCGCTTTTACGCAAAGCAAGATGTAAGTAAAGACAAAACACACAAACATACACAACAACTAGACAGACAAAGGTAAGATAACACTAACCTGATCTTCGTGTTCAGTAATACACTGTTTTTCTTCTTTCGATACAGTATCCCAAATACGAACAGTACGATCAGTTGACGCAGTGACTAAATGCCTACTATCTGGAGCAAAATCCACGGATACAACCCATCCTTTATGACCATTGAAACTTGGCACAACTAGTCGGCCATCATGTCTACAAGCGAAAAAAGGGACAAAAATAATCAATCACTATTCATTACTTTGATAATGACCAAAGCAGGTAGTTGTTTTAGAGGGTCACCCACCGCCTAAATCTTTAAATTGAAGTGTGATCTACAAGGCAGTGGACCAGCGTTAGGAACTACGTTCCCATGGTTGCTGATGACTGTTCAATCCTCTCAGATTCTGGAGTCCATCTACACCCTAGGTTAGACATCAGCGGGTTTTTTTCCAGGTCTCCTAGGTCTGTATATGTCTACCAGTCAGTCTACCGGTTGTTAGGATCAGATGTTAGCATTCACCCATTCACATTTGCCTGGAACATATTAGATAAGTTTATTTGATATTACAGACTCTCCAATGCACACAATGCTATTTTATTTAGATGGCGATTTCAGAACAAGTTACTGCTTCAAATAATAAATAAAATTTGCGCTGTAACTAATCAATGTTCAAGTTTTACTTCTACAATATAGCATAAAATGAAATATGTAACCGAGCGGATTACATCAAAAACCGACGTCAGATAGAGAAACACCACACCAATACTAAAGAGTACTGGATAACTGATTAGACGACTAATGTAAAGACTCTTACCTTGTGCACGTTCACACATGACAGGGGATTGAACTCAGATGCATCAGATTCTATGGCAAACTATGGAATTACTTTGAATCGAACATCCAATTATTTCTAACTATTATCAATTATAATGTGGCTCATTGGCTAAAACACTCAGTCAATCGGTGGTCAAGGGGTTAGAGTCCCAGCCTATCTATATATTAGCCTGAGCAACTGGATAGTAGTATTATTAGCCTTCAGAGGACAAGTGTGGCTTACAAGTCTGGTAAATGAAAGATCTGTTCCGGATAAACTGAGTCCAAGCAAACAAAATGCCGCTGTTAATAGGCTATGCAGCTAGGCCAACTGTCATCCAATAACATCGACGATTAACTGGTTTCAACATAGAACTTTGCACTGATGTGCATCAGTTCGTGTTGTCACACTACCTCCTTATAGCACACAAAGCAAGAGAAGCGAGTAAAGGGAGGTTGAAAAGAGGGTTAATAAACAGAGACATGAGACAACAAGAATAGTAATATGGAAGAATAATAGAGTTCTACTGGATATTATAAAGCACAAAGAGTGAATGCAACTGCAGTGTCATTGAGAATGATTTTGAGCCATATCACCAATTGTCTCTAGCTGTCATTGGTTTTTACCGTTCCGAGGACCCCAACCAGTCAGGAAGTCTACACCTCCTTACGTGCCTGGCTTAAGCTAACTGTTGTGGATTTCATTGATTGGCGAAGCCATGTTTTGGTTTGACCACCACTAGTTATTTTCCAACCTGATCCATCCTATGTCAGATAACATAGGCCATCGAGGAAATAATATCGATGACTAACTGTCCTTCCACTTAACACCCCCCTTGGGCATACGTTCCCACCAGAACTTTGGGAAATTTAACCCGAAGCTAATCCTTAATTAATCGATTGAAACCTAACAACTAAAATCATAATGTCCGTTACACAAAAAAGGATAGACAGAACAGTAAATAGGGTAAATAAAAACGCCTATATCTGTGACACCTTTTTCAGCATTTGGAAATAAAACCTAAAGAAAACTGTCTGAGTTTCTCAACGTAGGAGTTTGCACAGAAGTGCAGCATTTGAATTTGCCACACTCCACTTGGTACATGAAGGTGAAGGTGAAAGAAAAAAAAGAGTTGAAAAAAACTATAATGAGCAGAAATGTTCTGGAGAAAGAACAACAACAAAAAACTCCTTGTAGTGCTACTCAAGTGACTTGACTTAGGTTATAATTCTTTAGAGGGGTGAAGTAATTTATTGTACCGATTCGCTTAACTAGCAACTGTGTGAGGTGGAGAAGGGCCTTCAGGTTAAGGATTCATTAAAAAATAGATAGTTAATTTGTTTACTTGGGATTTCACCTACTTGTCTTTTTTACGGGTTATAAGCTTAATTATTTTCTCAAAAAAGTCGAAGTTGTGAAGCTACGCCGACGGAGATGGTTACAGCATGTGTTACGCATGCCCAGTCATCGCCTCGCTCATCGAACAAGTCAGAATGAGGAAAAATTAAATTAGATTCCTTATCATTTTGTGCATGTTTATCACGCATGTCGTTATCATTATTACTATGGCGTGTGCTACTGATAAGATTTATCAGCAGTATGCAAAGAGACCTTCATCGGCATAAAAACATGAAATAGTTGGTATTAGATGGTTGGAGGCAATCGGCAGGAAGCCTTGGACCTAGGTTTCGTGCTAGTTGGCACTCATCAGCAAGGTGTATCTGCAACCTTGAAGGAACTGATGTCCCTTCTGATCGCCTCCAACCATCTAATACCAACAATTCACAGTGCACCGTAATGGTGAGCCACCTAGCATGGTGGCCACATTGCAAACATGACTGATAGAATTCAGTCTGCATCGAAGATAGGACTAGACACACATTACACTAGTTACTGACTAGTGTTCAATCAAAAACATGAAATAGCAGGCAGATAGATTTGATGTGAAAGACAGCAAATGATTCAGCGTTGCAGAGATTCATGGGAGACACGAGAAGAAGATAAAGAAACACAATACGAAAGGCAGAAGTATTACAACACGGAAGATCTGTGCAAATGGTACGTTGAAGATAAGGTGAACATAATTTCGCCATATATCGATACTAAATTCCAAATAAACATTCCTTTACCAAGTCTCTTGTCTTCTACCATTACACTACCACCATTATTATCATTATTAATTTTCTTTCACATTTTCCTATGTACTAACAATAAGGAATTGAAATCATAAGTAGTACTTGTATACAAAAAAGGAACCTCGGAAATCTTACGTAGAGTTCTTAATAATGCAGGAGTAAAAAAGGTATTCAAATCTCCCCCTCCCGAAAACTCGATTAAAAACAAACTTTTCGGTTAACGAACCCTGTGGAACCCACTAAACAAAACAGTGTAGTCTATCTAATACCCCGTCATGACTGTCAAGTCAAATACATAGGTCAAAGGTTGTAGAACGGGGTCATCGTCGATCGGACTAGCGGAGCACAAAATCCTAGTAGCAAAATCTAGATTAGTCGACCCTAAGAAGATAAGAAATCTAGAGAATAGCTCAGCTATATCACTATATGAAATCATACAGAACTAACTTTACGATAGGATAGGATAATAAGATGACAGTTGTAAAATCTAAAGTAACAGGGAGGAGGGAGAGATCGATAACGGAAGCTTGATTTGTCGAGTCAACTGAAAATACTGTGTCAACCCGAACATCTAGTGCGTCGGTGGCATAGAGGTTAGGACACTCGCCGACCATGCACATGGTCCGGGGTTCGATCCCCGCCTGACGCACTCCTTTACTTCGCTAAGCCAGAAATAATTCTGGTGAAGAAGAAAGGTTGGGCATGAGGCTAGCAACCCTATCCTGTAAAATAAACACCGCTACAGAAACTTCAAGCCACTATCTTGAAGCCCTATGTTCCAGTGGGGAACGTGAAGGAAAAAAAAAACCCTGAACATCTAGTAAATTCTACTACCCTCTATGAATAATAGGAAGGAATAAAGAAAACTATAAAAGAAAAGTCTCAAAGTTGCGTAGTTATAATTGAGATATGATTATTAAGAAAAAATTGTGTTTGAAACGTCATTCAGAAAACAAGAATACGTTTTCACTGTGTGATATTTATGTAATAAACAAATTAATGTGGAATCACAACTTCAAGGCTAACAGGGAAACTTGTCCACCTGACAAAGGGAGAATACTCTTATGAAGAAAACGAGATGTTTAAGTTATACGAGACTCAGAGAATTTGTTTAGATTTTCAAAATTAGAAATGAAAAACAATGAAAATCTAATGATATAACGAAAAAATGCGATAAACACTTCGAGTAAACCAAGGGTACTAGAAATTTTTCTCTTGTGAAAGATGCATTATAGAATTCACTGAATATAGAAAATAATTCCTTCCAGATACTTACACATCGAAAACTTTAATTTGTTTATCATCAGATGCTGAAGCCAGTAGACGTCCATCAGGTGAAAATGAAACTGATCGTACAGGTGTAGCATGTCCGTCTAGAAATCGAACACTGCCAGTTTGTAATTCACATATACTGACAAGTCCATTAATTGTTCCAGCTGCTAATTTTGATCCATCAGCACTCTAGATTATGTAGTAAAGAAAAATCATGTAGTAAAGAGATGTGTGACACGTGCTACTAATAAGATTTATCAGTAGTATCATAAAGAAACACTCATCGGGATAAAAACGTCAAATAGTAGGGAGATAGATTTGAAATCAAAGAAAGCAAATGATACTGTGTTGTGGAGATTCATGGGGAGACGTGAAAGGAACACAATATGAAGGAAGGCCAGAAGTAGCACAACATGGAAGATATGTGCAAATGGTACGTTGAAGATAAAGGCTACATAATTTTGCTATACAGAGAGATACTAAGTCTCTCGTCTGCTACCGTTACAGAAGGAAATAGTGTAGTGGACATGTGCAGAATTGGATTGTATGTTGAAAAGTGATGAAATAACTTAATTGTGAGACAAAAACGTTTTAGTAGTCCTCTTGAGATAATCATATCAAAGGCGTAACAGTATTCAGCTTGACTTTTTTCCAGCAAGTTATTTTATCCAGTATAGATAATATTTAGATTTTATGGTGAAACGAAGTTAGAGATACTACCCAGTCGTCCATGTCGAAGTATGTGGGTGGAACGGCATTCGAACTTGGTCAGTCAGTGGACAAAAACGCTACACGTACGACTCGTATTTATAGTAATTATGAGCATACGCATAGCTTTGACGCTCTATATGCCTATTTTTGATTCGCCTGACAAGACTGACTGACTGTTGATATACTTGACAGTTACAAATCACCTTGAGGTTCAGCATTTCGATTTGTGAGAACTTGATTCTGCCGTGGACAGAAATTAATTAAAGATGATAAGTTGATTCATATTCTGAAAGTTTAAGGCAATAATCTCATAATCAAACTTACTTAGTGGACGATAACAAGCTGTGGAATTTAGGATGCGTATTTCGTCCTACTTGGGGACTCGTCGCCAGCTGGATATATACCTGCCCACTGAGGTTTGAACCTAACACTCATTGTTTCAAACGCCAATGCATCATCTATGAAACCCAATTGCCTCAAAAGAGAGCCACCTCTCATAAAAAGGGTATCAGTTAAGTTAATTTTGTATTCCCCGTTGATTGATTATACTGGATCGAAATATTTGGCTCCATCGAAACGTCCTTACTAGGAGTCGATGCATCAACACACAGACCGAACGTTTTTAACTTGAAATCTAGTGACTCAGAGACTATTGCTTAAGCTAGTATGAACCACAACAACTCCTGTCTTAGATATTCAAGGGTTGGTTTGCAGGGATTGGATTGGTTACAGGATTTCACCATGAGCTGACATCAGTTAGAGAACCATTGGAAAACCATCTGGGAGTACTGGACAGCCGTTTCGTCCTAGTTTGGGACTCTTCATCAGTACGCACCCACCGGGGTTTGAACTCAGGACCTTCTGGTTACAAGACAAAACTCTTCAACCAGTTTCTAGTGAGCATCAATCAGATATCAACTGGTGACTGGCCCTATTCCGGTAGGTAGTTACCTGGGATTCTAGTGGGATGTCATGACCAGTAGGGTGCAGCAGGTCGGGTGTGAGGATAAATACTCGCCATCAATGATATTGGCTAGTGGTCGCGCTATGTCGTGAATTGGCAGAAGTTAGAATTCATGGATTGGCCATTGGATCGGGTCACAGTGGCTCAATGGTCTACGAGCTCGCCTTGTAACCAGAAGGTCCTGAGTTCGAACCCCGGTGGGTGCGTACTGCTGAAGAGTCCCAAACTAGGACGAAACGGTTGTCCAGTTCTCCCAGCTGGTTTTCCAATGGTTCTCTAACCAATGTCAGCTCTTGATGAAATCCTATCTCAGAATTTGACAATATTTTTCAACCTTCATGCACCTACACCTAACATAACTACTATATCTGCAAGTGATATTTCATGTTAACACTGCTTCCCCTTTACCCATTAGTTAACTGTAGTTCTACAACTTTTTTAAACTGTCGTCTTATTAGTAAAATACTTGATTAATTAATTTATGTAATCAGTCACGGTATTTATGTTGATTGAGGAGGTTAGAGCCGAATAAACTTTTAACAAAGCTGAAAAGATAATTTCACGTTTGATGACGGACTGATGTCAGCTAGAAAACCATTGAAAACCAGATAGCACTGAGCAGACAGTACTGTTTCGTCCTAGTTTTTAGGACTCTCTTTAGTAGTACACACCCCATACAGGGGGTTTGAAACCACGAATTTCCGGTTACAACACAATCTCGTCATAGATGATTCATGCGCAGCTGCTGAGACACCACCTCATTCAATAATGACCGTAGAATCCCAACTTCTCTACCAATTTGTGATATTCACTGGAATACCTTTTAAAATATTATATAATAATAATGATTTTTTAAAGTGGTGGCTTACATAAGCAAGACAATAGACAAATTTTCCTTCTAATTGAATTGAACTTTCTTTTGTTGCATTTTCTACATTGATCATATTAACACAACCTGTATGACTTCCTGTAGCTAAAAATCTTGAATCCGGAGAAAATGCAACAGACCATGTATCCGCTGGATCGCCTTCATAAGTATTTTTCTGTTTACCTGTTTCTAAATCCCATATTATTATCTAAAAATTGAAAAGGTATAAGTAAGTAAGTTACATGACTGGGCGTTTTTATTTACTTTAAAATACGATTTCTTTGAAATGTGAAAATAAAAGTCAGTTAAAGCAAATAAACAACCTCAGTCATCAACTGTTTATCTTATAAGAGTGGACTGATACTAAAAAGATTTCCAAATCTAAAATAAATTCTTCTGCATTCTCTTGGTTACTGGTTTCAGCGTAGAACTTTGCACTGATGTGCACCAGTTCGAGTTCCCACACTACCTCCTTGTAGCACACAAAACATGAGAAGAGAGTAAAAAGAGAACGTCTACGTCAGAAACGGCATATGCGAAACAAACCTCCTGTATCAGTGCTGAGATTTCGTCATCGATTAGCCCGCTGGCATTGGTTGATGCAAATTCTCAAACAAGTGAAGCAGTCAACACTTTCTACTACTTCACTCCCTATCTTTAAGCTAGAAGTCAACGTAGTCCATTCCTGTAGCATCATCTTAAATTAATTGAGTGTAGCTAAACCCATTTCTTGAAGTCTTTTTTTCTTACCATCATGCTTTTATATCAACAGGCATTTATTTCCGTCGCTTTCATGTACAGTGTAGGAGTAATGCCAATATCTGTTGCTTACTAATAAATTATTGATGTATGGTAAAATAACTGTTTAGAGAATTTCAAATATTTAATATCCGAAATAGTAGTTCACATCAGTCTTCAAGATAGATCCTGAAGGAAAAATGCTGTATCCTGGTCATTAGCTTGTCAGGAATCGGATTTGCAACACTAATGTCAAGTCAGTCAGTACTTCTGTATTGTTCAAGAGACTTGGTGTTTCACCAAAAGCATTTCGAACAGGCTTCAAACTCTTATCGACAACTGCCTTCACTATTTACCGAGGATCCGATGGCCACCCCCGTAAGGAATTAACAACTAAGCACTGTGACAGACAACGAACCAATAGAGAATCAATCTCTATTGCCCAACAAGTATACCGAAGAGAATGAAGATAAGTGGAACACACGATGAGGAAACCGCTAATTGATATCCTGCAGCAGGCCATTACTTGAGGAGTGGAAACCAAATAAAAAAACAACGAGTTGAGCGTAGGTCGGAAGGTGACATGGAGGAGATTAGCGTCTCTATTGGTAATCGTGATGGCAGCTAAAGACTGCACAGAACAAGATGAAATGGAGCTGTGCTGTTAAAGCGCTATGTTTCACTTGGGACCTAAAGAAATTATAATATTTACCTTATTAACTGACAATTTGAGTTAGTTGTCTAAACAGTGGTCCCAGAAGCTTGTATCTATTTTCGTCGAACTACCTATCTAAAAGGAGCTTTAATTGTTCAGACTATTAAAATTATAACTAACAGTAGAATAGTTTGTAGCTGATCAGCTTTGAGTATTTTATTTCCGACCAGTAAGTCATTGTTTTAAACTAATTATTCAGTTGGAAACCTACAAAACCGGATGTTTGTTGTTTATTTACTTCGGCTATCTCCTACGAGAGGATGAGCCGGCTTCATGAACATCTCGAATCATCGCTGCCCAGGCGCGGCGATCTGATGCAAGGTTTTGCGACAGGGTTATCCAATTCTTCTTCCACAGACGGAGTCCGTAGACGGTTTGTAGCCCCAGGCACTCCATATCGGCCTTGACTGTACCAAGCCATGTTTTCAGCTGTCCACCCCTGCGACATCGCCAAGATGGTAATGGAGAGGGATTTAGAACTGATTTGAGCAGATCATCATCTGGTCGGCGCAGAACATGGCCAAACCACCGATGGCGACGTTGTTGGACCAGTACTGGAATTTGGTTGGTGTTGTAGCAACGACGACGCACTTCTTCGTTGGAGAGTTTGTCCTGCCAACGAACATGCAGAATGTACCTGAGGCACTAATGGTCTACTACCTCAAGTCTGCGTACATCTTCCGCGCGAAGAGGCCAGGTTTCACAGCCATACAGGAGAACGGATCGTATGGAGGCTTGGTAAACCCGAATTTTAGTCCTGAGACTGATTTCCCTCTTGCTCCATAGAACGCTTCTCAGCTGAAGAAACGCATTCCGGGCGTTGGAGATCCGCGCATTCACTTCGTTTTTCGCTTGACCGTTGGGAAGCATTATGGATCCCAGATATCTGAAGGATGGCACAATTTCAATAGGTGCTCCATTCAGGTATAAGATTTCATCATTGCTGGTGGATGTGTTCGAAAACATTTTGGTTTTGGAAGTGTTGATTTCCAAACCGATGGTAGACGCGAGGTGGTTTATCTGATCGAGCGCCTGTTGCATATCGGGGAAGTTTTCAGCTAGTAACACGACGTCGTCGGCGAATTTGAGGTCGGTTATGTGAATATCGGATGGTGTTTCATCAGCAGAAATCAAATTCACAATTTTCAGTTTACACAGGTAGAAGTGATCTAAACAACGGACGAGGGGTTTGCTCGTTTTGGGCTAAGCTTATCGTCAGCAGTGTGCCCAGTTTGACTCAGCTCAGAATCACTTCAGTTACTTTTGGGCGAATTGATGATACCACCATATACCAAAATTTGCAATTTACACAGTTCGAGATGATTTATCTGACCATAGTTTCCTTTTGAAACCAAGATCATTCACATCACAATGCATGTAATCTACTAGATATCATAAATGGTAAATCAAGAGACCAAGTGTACATGCAACAAACGACATACTACTACTGTGGTGAGGGCTGACTGCTAGCCAAAATTGGTTGATAGTAATTTACGTCAATGTGTACGTCCCCAATAATAGTCATGAGAAAAATAAGAACAAAGACTGACTCAACAACCAATCACAGCAGACTTTGCGTAGGCAGATACAATTTGCAGATAGACAATCTGAACTTCAATAAACGGCCACAAAGAGATGAAAGATTAACGTTCAGCGAGAAACCACCAATCAGAAGACGGTGTTTATTTACTTACAGTAATCTATAATAATGTATATGAAAATCTGTAAATGTGTTGATTTCCTAAATAAACGATCTGTTGCCTGGTCCTTGTCTTCTGTTGTTGCAATACTACTACTGATCGATTGAGGTGAGTAGTATTGTAAACTACGCAACACATCAACTAAGTAGTGCTTACTACTAGCCAAATGAAAGTGTTTAGATCAACTTTTCTGAATAAAGAATTAACCACTCGAGTTATCTACTTATTTACTACCCTGACAAATTTATAGATAAAAATATAAATATAGATTTGAATAAGGCATTAAGAAGACAAATTTCGCGAGATGATATCATTTTGTAGTTTCTTTATATATATATATATATATATATATATATATATATATATATATATATACGATACAAACAAACAGGAGATAAAAAAGAAAGGTGGATAACCAACTTGACTGTCAAGACTGCTTGAAGCAGCCAATGTTCCTTTTGCATTGATATCCACAGAAACAATACCAAGTCTATGCCCTTCAAAATTATGCAGGCGTTTTAACCTATCACCCGTCCTAAAGTCAGGAGAGTAAAAAGGGAAAGAAATATTTATTAGCGAAAAATCACTGGAATTACAAAAAGAAACTATATATTATTTTTAAAAACACAAAACAAATTTGGTCAGCTGCATTAGTGTCCACTGGAATATAGAATTATTTACATGATAGAGCACTGTATTGTATTGATTTTTTACTGAAGTTAGTGGCTTTGTACACTTTAAAGTTTGGACGTGTATAGTGATCGAATGGGTGTGGATCGTGTACAGTAAGATACACTGCTGAACAGTTACTATCAATCTGAAGATAATTCACTTTTTTTAAACCTCAGATACATTAAAAGTGTGGCAGAGAAAATTGATGCTTAAACTATTTCATACGGCAGTTTTTCTTTACAGGCAATATATCTTCAAAAGATGTGCACCCTACAAGATGCTCAACTTTACTGGAAAAAAAGCTTAAAACTCTTGTGGTGTAAAGCTTTTATGTTGTTGATAAAATTATATTTGTAAAATCTCAGCGAAATTGAAATGATTAATTCCAACGTTTCGTTCGGCAATCTGGTCCGAACTTCTTCAGGGAAATTAATCGAAATTAACATAACAAAGGTTTATATATAAAAGGAACATCTCTTGTTTTTTGAAACTTTGTCCAATCATGAGCCATGAAACAGGCATCAACATGTATAATAAACAAAATTGTATGAACTGTGATCAAAATTTGACCTCAGACTTTCAAAATTAGTCTACTTTTGTTAAAATATACGTGTATATGCAGTATACAATAGTGTGTGTGTGTGTGGATGAACAGTCATAAAACATTTTTTATTCTCTCCATAAGAAGACGTAGATAATCGGGAATTCGACCAAGTGTGATTAGTTGTTGATACATATCCAATTTTATTTATTAGTCAGGATTTGCCATGCATCAGCTAACACCACACCTTCACGTCTGTTCAAACTGTTGGGATTCACCCATATATGTAGGGCTTCTGCAGTCAGTCTTTCTTTATATGAACCAAAACCTTTTTGTAAAATCTTAGTCTTATCAAAGTCGATTTTGTGTCCCGTTTCTATCGAATTCACTGCAATCGCTGAGTTGTTTTCTAGCTTCTTCAAGTCTGCAGAGGTCTTTGGAACCACCTTTAGACATTGTTAATGCTCTTTCACTCTTACATTTACCTATCTGGAAGTTTCTCCTACATATACGGCGTTACAATCCCCACAATTAATCTGGTATTCGCAATTCTGCTGGTTTTTCTTGTTCTATTTTATCCTTAACCTTCAGCAGTAATGAGTGTGAGGTGTTCGTTGCACGAAAATACACTCTTATGCTATGATCGTTAAGGATTCGCTTTATTTCATCGGATGTTTCTTTGCGGTAAAGGATCACTGTGGTGAGAGCTGTCTATTAGCCAAATTGGTAGACAGTAATTTACGTCAATATTTACGTTTCCAAGATTTGTCGTGAGAAAATGTGAACGAAGATTGATTCAAAACTGACCACAGCAGACTTTGCGTAGGCGGATGCAGTTAACATATAGAGGATTTGACATTCAAGGAACAGTCGCAAATAGATGAAAGATTAACTTTACGTGAGAAACAACCAATCAGAAGACTGTGTTTGTTTGTTTAAATATCCATAGTAATGTACATGAAAATATATAAATATGCTTTGATTTCCTTAATAAATGATCTGTTGCCTGACTCTTGTCTTCTGTCGTTGCATCACCACTGTACTAACCCAATTCTTAGCAACAGGTTTCGATTCATCCTTATCTTCACATTTTAAATATCTTTTTATGAAGTCTTTAGAATTGAACAAAGTTTCAAAAAACAAGAGATGTTCCTTTTATATATAAACCTTTGTTATATTAATTTCGATTAATTTCCCTGAAGAAGTTCGGACCAGATTGCCGAACGAAACGTTGGAATTAATCATTTCAATTTCGCTGAGATTTTATAAAAATGTCTACTTCTCACTCAGCGCTCAATTATTTTGCAACTATCTGGTCAAATCTTGATCACAGTTCATATGAACTTTTATGTTGTAGTAAATTGAAGTAATATATGATGACGATGATGATGAAATTTACACACTTACCATTCCCAAGCAATAAGACTATTGTCTAAGGAGCCAGTGAGAATATATTGTTTGTTTTTATCTGGATTTTCACCCCATGTACAGCACTGAATCCCTTCTTTATGCGCTATAGTGGGGAAAAAAAATCAAATAAGAATTCAGTAAATTAGCGGAAAACAGTAAGCTTATGTGATCATCATTTAAAGGAGAAGAGCACCAGAACTTTGAGTGGAATTAAATCAAAGCTTAGAGATTAGTGAGATACTAAAGTGTAAGACTGGAACTCAAAAAAAAAACACCGCATATAAGAGTATAGGGAGAAGTAAGTGGGTTAACAACGCTACTCATTGGCTAAATATTGAAAGATATTTGAAACCCTTTTGCTGAATAATAGTATAACCTGGACACCTGTTAGGATACATTTTTAAACTTTGCTTCATATTAAGTTTGAGTAAGTGAATACTATTCGTCTTTATGGAGACGAAGATAATATCAAGGATTATCATATGAAGCCATACATGATTTCAGTGCAACTTAACGGATTCGACTTACAACAGGAAAAGAGCACTCAGTCAGTTAATGTGTTCACCTAACCTTATAACAACTCTGACCTTTCTTTCAAAGTGATTGTGTTCCTGTGTCACCCTATCAATTGACGCTTCGCTAATGCCCCGCGTTATGTCTACGTAAATAATGTTTAAACTATTGTCTAACTGTACTGACAAAAATCCACGCAGCTATTCTTTCATAATAACGAATAAAAAGTTATCGTGAATTAAAGGCGAGAAACTTGTCAGAAATAATTGAAAACGACAAAAATGCTGTAAATTTTTAGATTTCCTCATAAGCCAGTTAGAAATGTGATGAGAATAGTGAAGGGCATCTTCAAGTGGTGCAAACCCATAGAACATTATATTACCAGACTACCGATCGCCATAGTCATCAAAGTAATGCTACATTTTATAACACAAATATGTGAATCAAATATTTCTAACGAAAAAGATGAGTTCTGACAAGATATAGTTTCGAGTAGTCATTTATTCCCTTCGACAGAAGTAGTTTATGAAAGCTATTTGCCCATAATAGATTCCACCGATTTTGCAAGTGAAGATAGCTACAACTTGTTTGTTTCCTACAAAACACAATTCAGATGCGACGTGCATGTAAAAACAATGAAGGACACGCTCCACTTTATTTATGGCGCACAATTATTATGCTGACTGCTTTTCTTAAAGCCTGCTGGAACGCGTGCATCATCAGATGAAGGTCAAGTATCGAAAGCAGCAAGCTTGCACATTACGTTATTAGAATAATAACTTAGGAACATATAACACGAAATAGCACTCTAGGAAGCACTAACCCATCTATTAAAAGACCAACATATACTTCTATTAGTGTCTCAACAAATCGTAAAACGAAGTGGCCGTTAATCGTACAGACAGAAAGCGAAATATCAAAGACAAACTGAAACAACATAAATTTGGTTCACTTCGTAAATTTCGATAAAGAAAGGCAAACGAAATTTTCAGTATAAAATGATATCATTCTATTTCACAGGTTCTCATCAGCTGCAGACTACCTGAAATTACAATGGTTATATAAATGGTAATAACAAACTTCAATGTTTAGGTGGTAATAGAGAAGAAATACTATAAAAGTGACGCATCCAAAATGTAAGCATTACAATTTTTAGTTTAAGTTTTCATCATCAATTTATATGCTTTCAAAGTAGAAAAGAGGGGGTGGGGTGGGGTAAGACAGAAAACAAAAAAATAACAGTGTAAGCCCTTCTTTCCGTCCTTCCAGTGTACTTGTCCCCGCAAGTGCACGTAAATTCATAAACGCAGTTGGAGGTGACATCAGCAGGGTATTTATCCAGTTTAGAGCGGCTTATAGAAGAAGCGCTGTATAATGTTATGAGTTTAGCAGCAAGGAAGCTTCTTTTTATTGCTCCTTTCATTCTCTTGTCAATCTTTTGTGATACTGCATCTCCTTTGAATGGGAGACAAATAAACACTTTCTTCTTTTCAACAGTTGGGTTTTTTGCTTTCTTATCTTTTTATATGCTATACTTTTTTTATATAAATCCCTTTGGGTATCCATTTTCTCTTAGGCATTTCTTGACGAAACCTAATTATTCGTCCACCTTGTTGGATGAACATAGCTACCTGGCTCTGTCGTGCAAATTCCTCACTAATCCACACTTATAGCTTATGGGACGAAAGCTGTTATAGTGGGACCTATTCTGGCCGATATCTTCATGGGCTACCTCGAACAGATATCACTGAGCTCTGCTATCAATGGAATGACCCACTACCGGCGATATGCTGGCTGGCTGGCTGGATTCAACATAGAACTTGGCACCGAAGTGCAGCAGTTCGAGTTGCCACGTTCCAAATAGCACACACGCCGATATGTTGATGATACATTTGTTGTTTGCAACGACATGGATCACGCATCGGCATTATATGATCGCCTCAATGAGACGCATCCAAACATCAAATTAACCATGGAATATGAACATAATAATGAGTTCAATTTCCTGGATTTAAATGTAGAGGAACAAACGATGGTACTATCGAAAATTCCATCTACAGAAAAGAAACCTGGACTGGGTAATATCTTCACCATAACAGCTTTCGTCCCATAAGCTATAAGTGTGGATTAGTGAGGAATTTGCACGACAGAGCCAGGTAGCTATGTTCATCCAACAAGGTGGACGAATAATTAGGTTTCGTCAAGAAATGCCTAAGAGAAAATGGATACCCAAAGGGATTTATATAAAAAAAGTATAGCATATAAAAAGATAAGAAAGCAAAAAACCCAACTGTTGAAAAGAAGAAAGTGTTTATTTGTCTCCCATTCAAAGGAGATGCAGTATCACAAAAGATTGACAAGAGAATGAAAGGAGCAATAAAAAGAAGCTTCCTTGCTGCTAAACTCATAACATTATACAGCGCTTCTTCTATAAGCCGCTCTAAACTGGATAAATACCCTGCTGATGTCACCTCCAACTGCGTTTATGAATTTACGTGCACTTGCGGGGACAAGTACACTGGAAGGACGGAAAGAAGGGCTTACACTGTTATTTTTTTGTTTTCTGTCTTACCCCACCCCACCCCCTCTTTTCTACTTTGAAAGCATATAAATTGATGATGAAAACTTAAACTAAAAATTGTAATGCTTACATTTTGGATGCGTCACTTTTATAGTATTTCTTCTCTATTACCACCTAAACATTGAAGTTTGTTATTACCATTTATATAACCATTGTAATTTCAGGTAGTCTGCAGCTGATGAGAACCTGTGAAATAGAATGATATCATTTTATACTGAAAATTTCGTCTGCCTTGGTTCATGTAAATACTTCAGTAGTTATGGCAATGTTTCCGAAATAGCCTGGGAAGTACGTATATATATATATATATATATATATATATATATATATATATATATATATATATAGGGTATATATATAGGGTAGATCGATTAGATTATTATAAGAAATTAGCGGGAAGCCTTTGACTTAGAGTTTTGTGGTTGGTTGCACTCGTCGGTAAGGCATACGTGCAAGTTGAAGGAACTCATGTTCCATCTGGGATCTAAATCCGTATCTTATAGGTCAATTTTGAGCCCAAATAAGTCAGTGGTAACCTTTCTGACTACAGAACTGATTGATACGGGTACGAATCTCAGAGGAGGAGACATGACTTACTTAAGATTGTGGGTACGCCTTGCTGACTGGTGAGTGAGTGCCTACAAGCATTAAACCTAGGTTCAAGACTTCCTGCCGGTTGCCAGTGAGTCATGATGGCGAACCACCTAGAATGGTAGCCACACTGCAAACTTTACTGATAAATTAATTCAGTCTGCGCCAAACAGAGGACGAGACGCATGGCACTAGCTAATTACTACCTAGTATTTAATCAAAGTATAAGACATTTATTTCACTACACAAGAATTTACCATGACTGTACTAAATAAAAATTTTTAAAAAGACTGAACGCTTACCTTCTTTATCTGTATATTTCGTGGAAAACTGTGAAATAGAATAAAATGCCAGTGTTCAGAAATAATATAAGAATATTAAGTTGTAAAAGATACTAAGCATTAATAAAATAAACCAAGTAGTCCCAATTAAACATAACGTAAAATGCAACGTCATATTCATCTATTCACAATATCATGGGCTTTTTGGTTGTCAGTCAAAAAAGAAAGCATAAAGATGAACTCAATCTTGACTTTTAAATTGAGTTGTTTTCCAAACCAAATAGCGTAAAGTAGGAAATATTTTGAGTATTTTTATGTCAGTAGGAGGCAGAAATATTAATCTGACTGGAAAGGCACTAACGTGCAAACATTCTAACTTGATAAACTGAACTGTGATGTTGCAAGTCTTTACTTACCTTATGATTTTTCTGTTGTGCAGCGTTTAACAACTTCTGATGACATTACCTATACAATGTTTCTTTTTTAATCGCCTTTTGTTTAATGTGGTATAGCAAGTCCAACCGTTAAACAGAAATGTTAAGTCTTATTTTAGTAGATTTGTATATCAGGAAATGGAAGTGAAGGCTTCGTGTGCTGTTGGAAGTGTGTGGGCGGTTGTTACTTCCCGGCTGCCCACACCGTGGAAGTTGACTGATTCTTCGGGTACCTGAAACAGAGAGAGGGTTAGTGTTGCGTGACGGCAGAGCCCGCAGGGGACAACTGCTTGAGGCTTGTCACACACGGCCTGTATGAACTGGTTTCTGGGATTGGTTCCGTATTAGTAAACTTACCGCCGGTTACGGACCACCGTAGGGTAGGTCACGATGTACAATTTTTGGGGTCGACCTTTTCTAACCCCCTCTCTCCGGAGTGGAGAGACAGCATAGCTGACATGCTAGTCATCTAAGGGAAACACCTCACTGCTGTTACACCCCTGTTCCCCAGCAGTACGACTTCGCCATCAGACCCCCAGCATAGTGTAGGAAAGACTCCTACACAATGCCGGTAACTGCTTTTAGTCTAATCACTATCCTAACAACCTTCCTGGCATGGTAGGACCTGCAGGAACATTGGTTCCAGCCAGTGCAGCCTGTTGGATCATCGCGATGTGCAAGCCCGATCATCACGTCAAGGTAGCAGCTATCGGCCGGGATTTGTATATCAGATAACTGACTAACACATTAACGCAGAACTTTGCACAGAAGTGCACTAGTTCAGGTCACCAAATTCTATAAAAAAACCCACAAAAGACAGTAGAAATGTGAAGATACTAAAACAGAAAGACACAGGTGTATGAGGAAGACTGTAATTATATGAAGATTTTTAGCGTGCCATATGACAAGCATATCATCGGCAATTTAAGTATTGACTCTTAGCATTCCGCCAAACCCAACAGCCATAAAGTCAACACCATCTATACGTGGCTCAAACCAACAGTTAGGCTTTATGGGTGATGGGGTCACATTTTGATTCCCTAGCTCTTCTACAAACTAAACATAGGTTATCTAGAATAGTTCGCTTAAGATGGTGGTGGCACAGCATACTTAAGACATTTCAAGTACGTAGATTAGTAGAGATCCAATCATATCGATTAACTTGTCTTTCTTTCATAACACTGCGCTTAAGTCTAATTATTACTTAAAAATGTTTCATGCAACACAAGCAACTAAACGAAAACGCATGAATTCAAAAGTATGTAGTCTCTTCAGATCTACTTTCAGATGTCTCACAGTATTTATGAGGATTACTGATCAATATAGATCCCTTTTGATTGATAGCCAGATATCGCTTCAATATCAGTGTGTATTAAATACCAAATGATATTGTCCTCACTAAAATTAGCCCAGTAGCCACCACTTAAACCGCTAAAGTATTACTGACCAGAGTACCAAGAAAGGACAACGAAGTATTGAGTAACAATAAAATATGCTCATAATTGATTTTACTAAGGAAAATTGATAAACTTCTGTTGGCATTTCAAACGTACATCTCAATATTTTCTTAGGTTCCACTGTGATGTTCCTTGGTACTGATTACTTGTCTCATAAAATACAGATTTCTATCTAGACTTATTGAAGTTGTAATTTTAAGGGGGCCTTAGTGACTTTGTGATAATAAATGGAAAACCACAAACTAGTGGTTTTCACGAAGAACACCATAAATATGTTAAAGGTTACTTTTTGTGCACAGCAGAACCCATGATTAGCTAAAAGGACAATGAAAATCAACGTAAGTCGTTTTGTGCATTAATAAGTACGAGTGATTGTTTAACTGATGACTTCACCTAGGCCCATCATTTATGAATGCACACATTCAGCAACCACGATAGGACACTTCCTTGAAAATACACTGAAATGAAGTGTAGGTACTACAAAACCTTAGGACTACGAAAACATGCTATATATACTGTTCGACATATTAGACTTCACTTAACAATTAAGAAGCAGACCATACTTTAAGTATACAGCATCCACGTTGGAATGAGTCTAATGTGGACACTGAAATGGTCGGATGACTTCCAAACTTCCTCTACAAAGAATGGATAGACTGACTGGTTTGTGCTCATAGTCATTGAAGAATGGATAAAGAATTTATATCAACCTTATATATTTCATCCAGTAACTTCAATGCGAATTTAACGCATTTATTTCTTCTCTATATTGTTACCTTTAATCCCTGGAGAAACATAAGGTTTCAGCCGCACGTTCGGTTCTCCATCAACGTTTTCACCTGGCTCCTCGCCTGCGTACATGCTTTCATCTCCTATTCACATGACCTCCTCCACGTCACCCTCGGTTCCACTCTAGCGATGGCCTGACGTGTGATGTCACTTGATGGTTTCCTCAGGGTATGGCCAATCCACCAACATTTCTTCCTGCATATTTGTTGCTCTATACAGAAACACCTCAGGTAGAATGAGGACATACAACCAACTATCATCACTGGCTTGTTTAACCTTCATTTCTCTCTAACTTTGCCATCGATGACATTCTGGAGTCAGCTCTGAAGAATGTGCGTAGAGGTGATGTAGATCTGCTCCCTGCAGATAGACTTTTCGAATTCGAGTATGCAGACGGTATCATTTTAATGTGCGATAGCATGCAGGCTGTCCAAATCGCACTTAATCAGTTATCGACTAGTGTCTAATTATGGTATGCACTTTGCACCGTCTAAGTGGAAAGTATTGTCACAAGATTGGTAGGAACCTGTACATGCACTCACTCTTGCAGGTGAACCGCTTGAAGTTGTTGATAAGTTTGTGTATTTGGGTAGTTGTGTGAGTGGTGGTCGAGGGGTGACGGATGAAATTTTCAACCGTATCATGAAGGCTAGGGTGGCATACATCAACTTGAGCCACCTCTGGCACCGTCGCGACGTTAGCCTGGCTGTCAACGGTCGGGTATCCAATGCTTCGGTGCGGGCTGTCTTTCTCTACGCCAGGCCTGTGAAACCTGGCTTCTCCGAGTAGGCTGAGGATGTGCGGCGGCTCTGCGTATTCGATCATCGCTGTCTCCTCAGGATTGCTTGTGTTCGATGGCATCATAGAGTAAGTAATTCTGAACAGTGGAGATCACCATTTGTTAAGTGTCATCATCTGGAAACACCGACGACGTTGGCTTGGGCATGTGCTGCGAATGTCATCCCAGATGCTTCTGTACAGGTCTCTGTTCGCTAGCCACCCCTGGGGCGGGAGAGAAAAGGCGGTCAGCCCATGACGTGGGATGAAGAATATTTGTGCTAGGTTAGCATCGGTTGGTGTGTCATGACTCCCTTGGTTGGGGTCCGAGAGTTAGCTCGAAACGTTATCGAATATGGCCAAGAATCGTAATAAATGGCGAACGTGCTGCAATTTCCTCCTTTCTTCCCTTCCCAATGATAGTTGACGAATAGTGTTTGAACTTGTTAAGTATTTCTGTTTTCCTTCTTGATGAAGTTTTTTATCCGTTCTCAACCTCTATTTTTACTTTTAATCTGTTGTTTTATCATTATTGTGTGGCGCATCTTCTTGGTGCCATATTGTACCAAGTTTTACTGCGTAAATAAATATTTGTTGCACAATCGGTTCCTGGTCGGTCCGCTCCCAGAGATCCCTGTTGCTGTTCTTTCCTGGACATCTGATCTAGAGTATTAAGCGAAGACAGCTGTTGGTGAAAGTCTGTAGTTTGTTTCTTCTCTATAGCAATAACTGTTTACGAGGAAGTCAGCTTAAATTTAAAAAACAAGTAAAATCACCTAGCAATGGATGTCCATTTCTCGCATCAACTTAACCATTAGTGCAGTTGTCAGTTGAGAAAGGCAGATTAATTACTTTCTGGAGTATCATCCAAAACGAGAACAGACCTCCATCGTAGTGCAGATCAAGGGACCTAGGTCAAATAAGTAATTTTGGAGTCAATGGAACAAGTAGGAAAATTTCCAGTATGACCAACGTACGCCTAAAAGTATGTTATATTTATTTACAAAATTAAAAACTGCAGGCAATATTGCAATGAAGGTTGAGTCAAATAGAAATAAAGATGTCCCTAATGTATAAAATCCTGCCGCTTAATTATTAGCCACATTATCAAACAATTCGATCGTTGCTTCTTTTCCTTTATTAACCTGTCTCAAAACCAGTCAAGTAATGCTGCAACAGTTTAACGCTGATCGATGGCTGCTACGTTGAAGTGATGGTCGGCCTCACATGTTCCAGTGACACAACTACCTACACTGGCTGGAATTGATATTCCTGCAGATCCTGCTATGCCAGAAAGATCGATTGGATAGCGGCTAGATTGAAAGCAGTTTACCAGCATAGTGTAAGTTGTATACACTGTCAATGAGTAAAACTTGGGCACTGTGGCAGTATGTAACTCCATATTAATCTGTTTATTAAATATATCGCACAATGAAACAGAATTATTTACTGGTGTTAGAAACGTCATGCAGTAAATAATACTGTTTCACTGTGTGATATATCTTATAAACAAATTAATATGGAATTCGTTTACACTCTGTTGGAGGCCTGTGATCGAAAACGTACTTTTGGTGAATAGGGATATGACGGTGACGAGATGTTTCCTTCAGGTGGCCAGTGGGTCAGCTATGCCGCCTCTACTTTGGAGATGTGTTAGAAAAGGTTTGTCCCAGAAATTATACATCCTAACTAAGCTCACTGCAGTAAATCATAATGCGGACATAACTCCGAAAACGAACTTCAAACGAGAAATGTGTAACCCGTCTCAATCAGTTATTTCTTGCGCTGATGTCACACAACATTAATATTCCATCTGTTTTAGGTGCCCAAGAAAAAATCAACTCTCATGGTGGGCCGTTGGGAAGTAATAATTGCCCTCACACTTCAATTAGGCACACAAAGCTTTCCTGATCATCACTCCCTGAAAAGTCACAGATAGTTTAATTGCAAGATCTGTGAAAAGACACCACACAACTAGTCTTTATTTGACTGCATATTGTAATTCAGTAAACCTATTTTATGGAGCAACTGAAATTCTCTAAATTTAGTGTTGAATGAGAGCCGGGATGAAAGCACTGTAGGATACAGGAGAGAATTTTATGCACCTAGGGCTTCTTACGACAGAAGAGGGACAAAATCTCAGGGTACCTTTAAACATAAGCATTATCTTCCTGTGAAATCCTCAAAATTACAAAAATGGTGAAACTGCGCATTCACGCGGTAAGGCAGTAAGTTAAAATATTATTAAGGCAAATTTCACCCAATTTTTCTCCACTCAAAACAAATTTCAAACAATACTAGCATTATCTTTGCAGTGGAGAAAATCGAGAGATTTTTTGGGAAATACAACCATCGTCCCCTTGAAATTACTGCTTATGCACCACTTTATTAAGTTCGAGATAGTAAGGCGATGAAAAAAAGACTTCTGCAAAATAGTAATCACATAGTTCTTGACGTCTTACTAAGCAGTATGTGAATCTGTATCTGTTGACACGTTTCAGAAACAAATGCATACGTATCATCACGCACTGAGGCAACTGCAATAAACATTTTTAGCTACTACCTCGTGCGAAGAACACTATTATCAGCTTATTTCTTCCTAGAGGAAATCAAATTGTGTGTCAATGAAGAAACAAACGAATCTTGTAAACTAGCTTTACCTTCGTAAAAAGAAACACGTCAACAAAGCAATCAGCACATATACACTCAGGGGAAGAAAAGAGAACGCGTGGCCCGGAAGTAATTGTTGTATTGTAATAAGTGTACAAAACTTATGAGATGATATAAAAATAATAGTGATACATTCGTTTATTCAAAGAATCAAATAACTGATGCATCACATCCACGTGTCTGACATCCACAACAATTGGGAGAGAATGCATAGTTTAAGCTGAATCAGGCCTTCAGATACTTTGGAGGTAATGTTTCAAGTCGAGAGAATTAGAAATTTATGAAAGACAATATTGAATTCAATCAAGAACCCAAAGGTCACAGGAAAATAACTACTCCGATTGCTGTAATATTCTAGATTAGGAAAAGTAAATTTTTCGAAAGGCTTGATTCGACATTGAAAGATTCTTTTCTGTAATCATGTGTATCAGTTGACTCAAACACTTCACAGTTTTAGGGAGCTCAAGTTACACATCAAAATGATCAGGACCAAAGTTAAACAACAAGGACAGAACTTCTCTACTGACAATCAGCTAGTATCATGCTAATATGACCGTATGCTAACAGGTCTCGGGGAAGAATGTGTTTGATTTATTTAACTTATAGATTAATTGGAGCTAGCCAAACATGCATATGCGGCAAGAGCCTAACAGGATAGGTGGTGTTTTGGAGATGTGGGACCCCAGGGTAGATCAAAGTACGGAATCAGAAATACAAACTGACCTCAGAACAGCATGATCTAAAGTCAACTTTTTAAGAACTTTTAGACTATTCTCATGGTAAGTTGCTCAATATCAGTGATAAGGTCGATCACGGTGATCGCTATAATTTAACCTTTCTGTGTTGAACCGAACAGCCTAAACCTCCAACTATCCTACCCTATATCATTTACACAATCATAACTGCTTGAATCGAACTTCGGTCCTGAAACCAATCAATCAAAATGGAGGTGAGCATAGTTTCTCATATCAGTCACTTTCTGGGAGTATCCTGAGTCCAGTTGTTGGTGCTATTCGAGGAGTTCAAGATATAGTTGCTGCAGAACCGAGTATTCAGCAGCGGCGACAGCACCCGAGTAACTCGAATGAAAATAGCCATAGGATTTCATCCCATAATGCAAATATCCATCCAGTTAAACATCTCGGTCCCGGAGTTTCAATGAGACAAGAATTTGGAAGACTGTCAATTAAAACGTTTTATAAATTTGACTATCGCTCCCACATTCCTGAGTCATACGACATGAAAACTCCAGGTCAATCAACAGATCGTACACCGAAGCTAATTCTGTCTTTGTCTAGTTTGCACTACCTACCTCGCTACAGTCATAAGATTTGTATATTCTTCATCCAAGGAAGATAATCGAAAGGAATTCCTTTGGATTAATACTGCATCTCCTCATTTTATGAACAGATTCAGATGATAAGGATAGTAGGCTCTTGTTGCCTGTGTTAATCCTTGCAAAATATATCTCTGCGGAAATCTAACTTCTCTTTGGAAGCGTCCACCGATGGAGCTGGTACTACTGAATCAAGCAAGGGGTTCCAGTCGTTGACCACTCTGCGAGAGAATTTAAATCCTGCACGTATTTTAATCATCCTCGGTTTGAGCACCTTTTTACGTTGACCCCATAAATGTTTCCTAGAAGGGGAGAAAAGGTTAGATAGGTCAGTTTCTAAATCATCCTTAAGTATACGGTAAGTCGCATGTCTTCCTTCTATATGATAACGGGAGACTTAAATGCTCCATTCTTTTGTCATAAGGAAGATGTGAGATACCACTAACCGATTTGGTTCCTACCCTTTGTACTTTTCCTAAGATATGTCCCTCCTTCTTGAAGCATGGACTGGCCGCTTGTATGCAGTATTCTAGATGAGGCCTGACATATGTTGCGTAGAGTACTTTAAACATAGACTCATCTAATCGTTTGAAAGCTCTCCGGCACGCCCATAGGATTCGAGAAGTCTCAGCTGCGTCTGCATTGCAATTTACAGTTGTTTCCAAATCATTACTGACTGATTCCTATGGCCTTCTCTCCGTTAACATCAGGTAGTTCTGTGTCCCCTAGGGAATATGACGTATAAGAACGTTTAGGTGAAAACAGTATTTATTTGTCGGACTGAGTTCACTGATATTTCTGGAAATTTCACGTCTCTTACAACAAAAATAGCCGTACAGAATTCACCAGAAACCTATTAGCAACCTACTGGACGACCTTGAGGGACAATTCACAACACCCGCATGGCTGTAACATTAACAATTAGACAGCAATATTTAAAACAAATAAAAACAGTTAATAAAGGAAATTGGAATAAGTTGAGAATCTGTATGTAGGTCTTAGCAGCTAGGCACTAAACCTTTCGCTAATTCCTGAACTATGACCCTAATACCTAACTTATACCCCGATCCCAAGAAATACCAAACCTAACTCTAGTTAGAAAAACCCTGATGATACTGCAGACTGGATCGTGAGTATTGAAAACCGAATGGGTGCTGAAAGGGGAGTGATATGGTGACTCTAAACTACAGCAGCCCAAAACGAAACTACCTAACGAGCGAACTGATGACTTTGGCGAGTTTATTTACAGAAATAGGTGTACGATTAATTTTGCCCACAGATTTAGTCCTTCCTCAGTACTGACGACACAGAGTCTTGGCTTAACTATGGCTAAAAACAGAATGACTTGACTTAAACTTTATCTGTTTCTAAAAAATAAAATAAATCATACAATTACACCAAGAAAAATATACAAACCCATTGTCACTCAAGATTGGACAGAAACATACCAAACAGTATTGAGGGAACGAACAAAATGAACACTTAATTAATTAGATGTACAAACAAAGTGACAGAGAACAATATCCAATATCGTTTTTACGATATTGAACACTCAAGGTCGAGTGGCTTTATTGCATATCCCCTCAATGACGTTTGTCTCTATGTTGCTATTGTTTTCAAGTGGCCTTGGTTTCGGGGCGAGATTTAACTGATATAATATTGTGATTTCATAGACATTTCTCAGGCTTATACGTGAAAGAAAGTTATTATCCTGTAATAAGGAAAAGTTGTTCAGAATGTAAGGAGGACGTTATTTTTCAGTTTATTTGTGTATATACTATTGTGCACCGAGTTGCATTGAGTTCTTAGTGCAACTGTATGTAACTGCATTTACATAAAGTGAAACATTACGAATGCTCCTGTTTCTAGAATAAAAAACACTAT